CCTTATACGTCTTAGCCCGTTAAAATGCTTGTAGGAAATAGATATCGTGGCACACCTTTATGTAAGGTCACTAAAAGGGATACACTTTATTGCTATAGACATATTAAGTTGATAGAAAAGTAATCAATTTATTTGTTATGCAGAATCAAACAGGCGACCCAAAATCATGCTTTACAGAATACCAAGTTTGTACTACTTATATGTTTGGGTTTTTAAAGACACTACATTGTTTTTCATTTACCATTTTAATGTCCTGTGGAATGTTCCTGAAGTTGTTTATGTAATGTATGTACTGCAGACCAGGTACCCAATACCAACAGCAGCCTGGTACGTTGATCGGCGGGGAACTGCGCACGCCTCACCGAGCGATCTCTTTTGGCGGCAGCCTCTGCTGTCCTCGCCTGCTATTGTTAAGGATTGAGTAATGGCGAAAGAGCCAGTTGGACGGAAACCAGATATCCGCAAAGGTCTCGCCGGAGAAGTGATGTTGCCCAGGGCAACAAGCATGATGTTAGCCTAACCTAACCTGCTGGCAGTTTTTTTTTTGGGTGAAGGGTTGAGGCATGTCGCTAAATGTGGGAAGTCACAAAAAGTTTGTAACATTTAAACGTCGCATAACATGGACTTTCGGTGCTTTGAAAGATGAATCAGGCGTGTGTCAGCTGTATGTAGCTGGTCACCACTTCGACCCTCAGCAGAATAACTACATGCCTTTTGGACCCATGAATAAAGTAGAGATGGGCGATCCACATGGTTCCGATTCTAATACACAACTGCAGATTCCGATACAAGAGCTCTTTTTACTTTGTTATACTTTGTATATGATTTTTTTTTTAAGCTAGTAAATACAGATGGAAAAAATGTATGACAAAAAGTGTTTAATTAGGCTACTACAAACATACATAACGTGCTGTTCCATCTCGTTTGTTTTAAGCGTTTTTGAGGCATTTGCAATTCAATGTGAATATCTTAAAAGCAAGTATACACAAATGGCGAATGCTTAAAATTTTAACAGTTTTTCTCCCATTGGCGTCAGCGCAGTTACACTTTTGTTGCGATGGCAGCCCCACTTGTATCACAAGCTGCAGCGAGTTCGCAAAACAGTCCAATTAAATTAGCGACTCCCAAATCATCCATTGCTTTGTTTTGTCTCGCAGTTGCGTGTGCTTTGTTAAATGGGATTGTCCATTAAACGCTACTCCCACCGTAAAACTTTATTTTACATAGATTGCAAATCGCTCTGCTACTGGTTTCTGTTAAAAGCGTAAAATACTCCCAGATCGTCACGTCTTATCTTACGCTCCTCGTACTGCGAAGGGTATGTGCATGATGTCAGAGCAGGCGGAAGTCACACCCACTGAGTAGCAAAAAAAACACTTAGGGGCAGCGATAGCGTTCGATTTGAATGCCGCAAAAAACACATGTAAAATGGGAAACAGCTGTCGTGCGATCGATTGCCAAAAACTAAATAAGTAAGTATAGGACGTCAAATAGGTCTGGATCGGCGCCGATACCGATCCGAATATCGGTATCGGTGCATATCTAGAATAAAGCCCTTAACCCCCCAACCTGCTCCAGGGCTGTGGGGTAAATGGCCTGACCTTCTGTTTAGACCCCAAGCGTCACTCTAACCTATGTGTGCCTCTAAAAGAGAGCAAGATGGGGTATGTGTTGGGGGGGAAGCATCTCAATTTACTTTTATGAAAAAAATATTGTCTCATTCCTTTTATTATATTTTGTAACACAATAAGAATATGAAACATAGTGAAGTTTATCAATTCAAAATACATGGAAATGAATGGTGCGCACTGCAAAGTATTCCAAAACAAAAAACCACTAATTTCTGCCAAAAGTCTCAAACTGGGGAAGAAGTTTGTCTGTCAAAGGACAAAGATCTGAAGTTCACTGCAAAAGCAACACTGGGTTGGCTTAAAAATAAACGAAAAGATGTCCAAGTTTGTGGCACGGTGGTGCAGTGGTTTGCACTGCTGCCTCACAGCAAGAAGGTCCTGGGCCCAGTCCCTGGGTCAGGTGTAGGGCCTTTCTGTATGGAGTTTGCATGCTCTCCCCATGTTTGCATGGGTTTTTAACAGGGGTTCTGGTTTGCCCCCTTAGTCCAAAAGTGTGTGCAGTAAGTTAATTGGCCCCATAATTGTGTGAGTGTTGGTTCCTGCCTGCACCTGTTGTTCCTCGGATAGGCTTTGGTCCCCCCCTACAACCCCAGTTGGGATGAAGTGGTTGCAGTGATGGATGTCCTTGGCCCTGTCAGACATCCAAACTTAATCCAGTTGAAGAATTCAAACTCATCTATCAGTAGTCCCTAACTAATCTAATCTAGAAGGAGCAACAGACAAATACCACTTCATCTTAATGAATTTATAGAATTATAGAATTTAATTTTATCCAAAGTAACATACAATTGAGAAATCAATGTCAGCTAGTCACTAGAGCATTTGGGTCTAAAGGTCTTACTTTGAAGTTTGAAACGTTTGGCCGTGCAGTGCGGAAATGGGAGGATGGGGAGACAGGGCTAAAGTGGAACAAACCATCATTTACTGGAGGGGTAACCTACATGGTATTCTGAGCTCACAAGATTATACTTGATGTGCTTTATTTCAGCAATACTGTTATGAAACTTAACTCACGCATTGTGAGTTTAGTGACCCATGGAAGTGTCTCAATAATATTCAACCAA